TAATTTTGAAAGACAAGCAATTTTGTATAATGAGTTACGGCATTTTTTGCTATAATTACGACAAACGGCATTGCGTTCACACTATATACAGTACATTAATAATTAATAACGCATACTCTATTAATAAATTTGATACTATTTAAGTTATTGTGATAAAACGTTTACATAAAAGAATTTAAAATTAAATTTTTAATAGTTACAATATTTTTGCAGTCTTACATATTCTAATAGACAAACGTCAAGTCTTCATATTAAATTTGGTTTGAGTAGCGTTCCTGCATTATAAATAATAATAATTTATTTTTATTTAGCAAGGTAAAGTGTGCCTGTATTACTTGGTTCATTAAGCATTGTAATAATAAAAACATTGACAAACAATTAAAAATAATTTCGAAATAGAAAGATATTCTTTTTGGTTAAGATACCTGTGAAATAAATAATTAATTAATAATAAGACTAATTTCGTAATTACTAACGCTAATTTCGATCATTTTAAAAAAATACTAATTTAAAAAATTTAAGATTTCGAAATTAAATTAATCCGGAATCTATATGTAAAGTATCCGCTGATACGATTTTTCGGAAACCATTGTTCTGAAAGGACATAATCCCGATAAAATCAGTCAGTATTACAGTATACTGTAGCTAATGTCATTTAAGTTTGTCGAGATACGCAGTTTCGGAACTCGCATGTAATTTTATCCGGGGGTGTTATGAAAACTTAATGCAAAGAGATAATTAGTCTTGGCAATACGTAACAAAAAAATAACTAAGGATAAAAAGTCATACGTACACAAATTTTTTTTTGGTTTTCATGTTACTAAAATTTTGATCTCCGTATTACATGAGAATCATATCGAATTACAGCATTATATTTATGCTCATCGGTATGTTCAGTTAATCCAACTCTTAATGCTAACACATATATGTTTAGACCTTTTTTTTTATAACCCTATACCTAACCAGTGTTTTAAATATCAGTAAAATTCAGAATGAATGAATAATGAAAAATAAAATAAAATAAAAAAGAGAAAAAGAGAGAAAAGACGGAACAACAGAGTTTTTAAACATGATTCGGAAATTTAAGTGCACACGGATAGTACGAAGTCTATCATAAATGTACGTTATACATACGTATGATATCATACACATATACATATATATAAATCTCGATAATTAAAAAACAGATTTCTAAGTTTCGGTTAAAATAAACACCGCCGGAGAAAAAGCGGCATCCGGAAATTTTGCATTGGTTAAAATAACACAGCCACATGATGTGTCGATTTACTAAACTTATATGATGGAGACAATGATACTTCGACCGTGATATTCCAGAGTATTCATTACAGCTGTTTTCATAAATTCAGGGACACCTAAAAATTTATTCGTTTCCCGAAATTTCTTCGGTTTCGTTCTGTGAATTATCTAACCCTTCGGAAACTACATCGCTGTCTCCGGACCGAAGTTCCGAAGATAGCGACGTAGTTTCCGAAGGGTTAGATAATTCACAGAAGAAATTTCGGGAAACGAATAAATTTTTAGGTGTCCCAGAATTTATGAAAACAGCTGTAATTAATACTTATATATCTAAGAAAAGAACCTTGGATAAAGCATTCTCTCTCTCTTTTTATCTTGCAGATTTATGTAATTTTTATGAGAAAAAAATTCTACTTTAAGCATAATAAATCATATTCTTATTACGTATACTCTAAATCAACGTTCTTTTTTAGGTTAATGAATTCTCAGTTCAGCTTCTTATCTGATAATCTTCTATTAAAGCCACTTTACTAATTTGCCAAGTGCTATTTATATTTAATCATTAACGTTAAAAAAATTCTCTACAACTCTTCAACGGGAATATTTGTTTTTATGGTACTTTACAATAATCTATTTATATCTACAAATATCTCATGACTTTTTATCATGTAATTAGCGCTCCAAAATCAGTTAAGTTTTAAAAGTACTTTACTTTCCCTTTATATCCATAAGTTTCTCCACATAAATAAATCGATTACTTTATTAAGTCTATTCAGATTCATGATTAAATCTTTTTAACATTACGTAATGAGTTAACGTTAATGCATCAATCTGAAATCAGATCATTGTGAAATTTAGGGGTCTCAATTTAAACATATAAGCCCTACCAAAATCCACCTATGCTCTTTTCCCAATAATTCTAACCCTAAATCCTAATTTAACTATAAAAAAAACCCCAACAAAAAAGGCCTCAAAAATTTTTAAAAATCGGACATCAATTAAGTTAAATTTCATTATGATCTGATTTCTGCCACAATAATTATTTAAAACAATACCGATACGGATAGACTTTCAGCTTTTGGGCGTGATGAATTAACCAAAATTATTTCTGGAATAAATATTAGCTAGTGTTTTTAAATCTATTAATAGTAATTAGATTATCAATCGTTGCTAATGAAAAATTGATTATTTATTATTTTAAATCTAACTAATATTATTCTAGTTCTAATTTATAATTGATTTATTCTAATTGTCTAACTAGTATAGTCGCGTCAAATTTGGATCACGCTACCACCCTCATTTTTTACTAATTATTTTCTTTTTTTTATTAATTTTTTTTGGTGGAATGTAATAGACCCGGATCTTATATACGCTCTTTTACGGTATTATACTTTATGTTCATTCAATGTCTACTTATCATATAGCATACAATATCTCTATTATCTATTTCCTAGGCCTATAAAATTGATTAATAACCTGAAATATAAGTTTAACTGCTTTTTCAATCAATTCATTAATGTATACAGGTATATAAAGTCCAATCAGTGTTGGAAATTTAGACTGGTTTTAATGTTCTCAAAAAAAAGATTTTTTTATATGTTTTATTAATAAAATATTAAAAAATTAATGTTCTCTGATAACATGAGAACATCTGAATTTCCATCACTGAATCCAATCTATGTAAGTATTAAATTTTTTGCGTGTAACCTTATTTACATGATGCACAACTTATCAAGGCCAAAATTTTTGATTTGTTTGTTTTTCTTTCTTCTTTTCTTTTTTTGTTTCTTTTTAATAAAGAACAATAGATCAGATTAAGGATTTGAACCGGGTAAAAATTGTTGTTATGTAGTTAACCGAAATATATAAGATATTATTCAAAACTGTTTGATAGAAATATTAAAAGATTCCTTAAAAAGAAAGATACCTCACCGTTAAGCGCCGGTGTACAAAATTTTGGTGTAAAATTTCAAGTAATTGTGTTTTAATCTTGATAATCGTACATTAAAATTAATGAGTTTTATTACTTTAATTAACTCACCCAAATCAGCTCTTTTCGATAACAAAAAAATGAAAAAAAAAACATGGATCAATCGGACATAATTGAATAACAAACATAAAAGGTAAAATCAATCACTTTTCTTTAATACCAATCAAATTAACGAGTAATTAACGATGTGTTACCTAAGCATGTTTTTTATTTGTGTTATCAGAAATTAACTGCATGTTATACCATGGGTTTGTAAAATTTGCATGCTATACCATGGGTTTGTAAAGTACTGTAAATTTAATAATATATGCAAACTGTATTTCAAAAATATAATTTACTCCTTTTTTTTTTTTTTTTAAGAAGAAAAAAAGAGAACACACGGGGAGTAAGCATGCACATACAGTACGTACATAAGAAATTAATTACTGTACATATTACAGATAACCTACCGAATTGATTTGAATTGACTGTAATTAATAACTGAATTGATTGATCTACCGCTACTAATCCGTTAATTACAATCAAGTAGCAGTTAATAAAAAAAATTATTATTATTATTAATTTGTGCATCTATCAATAATTTGCCGAGATTTTATATTCTCGCGTGACATGAAATGCAGTCGTATGTAGTTATCCCTACTTATTTTTTTCTAAATTTAATAAAATAATTCTTGTTCCAGGCAATACAGCAATATGCATTTAAAAATCCAAATGGAGTTAATTGTATTTATAGGAGCTTTTATTATGCAGTCGTAAGTTTTTAGCTGCTGGGATCCTTTTTATGCGGTCCGTTATCAAAAGTGGTCCATTTTCAGGTTACCAAAGACCTTAAACGTATAAAAAATTATTGTCAGATGTGATGAATAACAGAAATTCCACATTCGACAAATAGGCAAAAAAAGTTATTAAAATTAAAAATCATGTGTAACATTATCAATTACTTAAATCCATATATAACACTTTTGAACTTTTATATGAATGTTTATTTATAGCGTTTTGAAAAAAAAGGCAACTTTGGGCGTTCTTTTGTGGTCTAATAGTCGGCCGAACTATTAAAATCGTTAAATGATTTTACTTTGGAAATTTCGTGATAGGGCTTTACTTATAGGAGATTTAACAATAGACGTATTTGTTAAACCATAAGTTACTGTATCTAAACATTAATGTCATATGGCTATCCTGTACTCACTTGCCTCATATATTAGATTCCCAAACTAAAAGAAATATTATGTGTAAATGCTACAAACCAATGATTAAGTTTTAGGAAATAATTAAAAACAATAACATATGCAAAGATAAATGTACGCAAAAATGGTAATTTAACACGGCATATTTTTTTTTTGTATTATCGAACATGTCGATTTTCCTGTCAAATGTAATTTTTTCCTTCCGCCTGAATTTGTGTACTCTGCACCTATTTTCTTGAAAGTTTACTTTCTTCTGGTGCTGTATAATGAAGATTCCCAAACTAAGAATAGAATTTTTTTTCCTTTTAGAGCTAGGTATAATTAAGGAAAGCCATTTTTGTAACCGTTTAGTTTATTTTTATTTTCAATCATTGTATAGATAATCCCCTTTCTCTTTTCTGTTCCTCTTCTTTCGATTCCCGTTTACCCTTAAAATATTGTTCCCTCTTTTTTTTTTTTTTTTCTATCTTCTTTTTTTTTTTCCATTGAGTACTCATTCCTTTATTAATCAAAACGGCCTTCCAAAGGTATTTCACTATTGCTCTCCCAATTTAATTTCTTTCATTATGAAAAGATTTTATTGGGCCGAGCGAGTGTCATTCAGGCTAGTTTACGTTATAATTTTCTCCTTATTATTTTCTCCATTTATCTTCTATTCGTGTTCCGCAGATGAAATAAATTATCAAGATCTTCAATTCAATGGATTTCAAATCTCACAATATACCACTTATGATGATGGAACAATATTACTTAGAATTCGTCCTAATAGTGATGGGAATTGTAGAGCAGATTCTTTATATTTTCGTTTAATAAGACCAGATGGATCAATATCTCCAATTACTTTGGATACTTCTTCTTATAATATTTCTTCGCAAAATTATTGTTTTGTAAATTCTGCTGTTGCTTTTATAAGAGCTCCTTTAATGGCACCGAGTTCTCCCAGTAATACTCCTTTATGGCAAAAGGTTTTATTTTCAAATGATCTCACTTTAAATACTAGTAGTAGTCTCAACGATGGTATAAGAGTTTATGGAATAGCTAGAAATTATATACTAATTTCATTTTTATGTGGAGATTCAAATAGTAATGTTTGTGGGCTTGTAATGGATTGGACTGGAAAAGTTTTAAATTCGTAAGTTTAATAATATATTTTTATCTTTTCTAAATCTTTTTATTAACTTATTGATTATTTTATTGATTATATTTTATTAATTATATTTTATTGATTATATTTTATTGATTCATTGATTGATTGAGATAGAAATATTAACCTTGGTAATAATTGTGATGACGTAAATATTGCACAGAATATAAATTCTAATATTGGGGGATTTTTATGGGTATGTTATATGAGCTCAACTAGTCAATTAGTATGGAGAACATTCGGTACTCCGTAAGTTTTCATCATTTAAAATCCCTTATTATTATTATTATTATTATTTTCAATAAACTAATTTTTTCATAAAAATAGTGATGCAACTGGAACAATTATCCCTATAAATCTTGGAAGGATAAATGGCATAACAAAATTTAGTCCTAATTATACTTCAATATTTCCATTAGGATTTTTAAATGCATAT